TGATAATTTTCTTTTTTGTTTTGTTTTATGTACTATGATATGCTCATGCTTTCTACTTCCAGGCAGGCTTGAGTCATGAAAACGACAATAGGTGAAGGCTTGTAGAGGTTCAGACCAAAGTTATCAGCGCTGCTCTTTGTGTCTGAGAGTCTCCTCATTTGGCTGAAAGAATGAAATTCAACTTATGAAGACAGAAGTGATCTAAAACACTGACAAAAACACTCAGGCGTAAGCTGGGCTCAAGTTGTTGCAATCTCCACCCGTCCTCCTCACACTGAGCCACGTCTTCCCCATAAGGAGGTTTTTTTCAGAACTATAAGTTTTGTTCTGCAAAGTTTGTTCAAAAGAAAAAAGAATTCACGCAAATGAATCAAATGGGTTTTAATGATGGCAGGGAGATGCGCCGCTCTAGTAGATCATGTACATAATTCATGTTCACATCACCCTTACATGAAGATGCATGAATAAATCAGGGCAGCTCAGTTCTCCTCTGATCAGCCCGATGGGACGCTGCTAGACTTGGTTTTTAGCGCGCCTGCATTCTGTGGAAGTACATCTCTGCGTTTAGAGTTCCCTGTTTGCATATAACGGGCATAATCGTGTTGATTTTGTGTCTCTGTGGACGCTGCAGGACACTGTTAACAGGACTTGTATAACTCTCTGAAGCCATGACTGTGTGCTGCTCTGCAGGGAGCTGAGGGAAAAGATCCAGCCGGAGATCATGGAGCTGATCAAACAGCAGAGGCTCAACAGGCTGTGTGAGGGAACCTGCTTTAGGAAAATCAGCAGTCGCAGGAGACAAGGTGAGACACACACCTTTGTCCACAGATCACCATATACCTAATAAAGTTCCCAGCGACCTTCTTTCCGTTTTACTTTTTACTCTTCTCATTGTTTATTCCCTTTTCTTTATGAAACCCCCACACGACGCGTTCCATCAGTGGGAACCTTTGAAGCTCTGGACTGCTTTGACTCTTGCTGTCATGACGACTTGCTCTACTTTTCTGACTCGCAGAGCTTTTGAAAGCTGAGACGAGCAGAGACGTTCTTTTAAAGTCGCACACTTCTGTCTTAAAGTGCACCCACGACATCCCTGCTCCGTTTGTCCTCACCTTCACACACAGACGAACAACGAGTGAAACTACTTTAGTGTTTCCAAAAAGTTTATACTTTGATTTTAACTGAGTCTTGTTTGTATTGACACCAGCAGCTGTTTGTTACCTTATACCAGCCTTCATATTAACTAGCTGGGGATCGCCTAATATAAGGCAGCACCTATTGTTATCCACCTGACAAGGGTTTCTTAACTTTATATCTTACTATTCCATCAACTTTAATGCGACCCGAACCGCAACGTGTACCCCAACAAATCATATCAAAGCGACCTGCTCGGCACCGTGATGTCTGCTATTACTTTTATGGGCATTTCGAGTTACCATGACGACGTAATTTGCTAACGATTGTGACATTTTTGCCATACAAAACGCTTGACAGAACACCTCACCACTAACAGTTGCTGTGAGGTCACATGACCTACACGTGTAGCGCTCCCTGAAGAAAACTTAAGAAATCACTGTTGGAGTTGTTTGAAACTCACAGAAAGTAATCATCAGATAAATGTCTAGAACTGATTAACGTTTGGAGCCATTTTGATTCAAGATGGCTGCCACAGCTACCTCAGAAAACACATAACTGACTATAATTTGGTCATTCTTTGAGGTATTGAGCTGAAATTTGGTATGGTCGTAGCAAAGAGTGAGTTGTTATACATTCATAATGCAAATCAAATATCCAAGATGGCCGCCTTAGCTAAAAGGGGAAAAACATGATAACTCAAACATTTTCAGAGCTATTCAGCTGAAATTCGGTATAGTGGTAGCCAAGAGCAAACCCCAACACATAGTACTGTCAAATCAACAATTTAAATTGGCAGTAGCCTGGCAGTTCCCATCAAAGTTTCTCCAGGAACTTTCTACTTCATATTTCTTCCTTCTGAATGGCATTACTAATAGTTTTTTTAGTAGAGCAAGACTTTAGCCAACAGAAAAATCAAACTTCTACTTTATTTCTAAGGATCTGATTAATATTAACATATTCATTTGACTTTTATGATCAGTCAATTGTTGAATTTTGTCTTCGAACATCGCTGTTTATTAGTTCTTTGGATGATTCGTCTCCTTTGTGACGCAATAGAAGGAGGAAGAGGAAAAGTCAGATATCCAGCCGTCGCCTCACATCGAAGCTTATTCCAATCGGCCCAGCTCTTATTGTGTTTCACGCTGGCTGTCGCAGGAAGAACTTGGGCGAAGTACAGAACAATAAGAGAAGAGTAGCGGTTTTATTATTGAGCCTGAATAATACGCTGCTCCTCAGTCACAGAGGATTTCATCTGCTGGAGATCTGATCACTTGTCATCAGATGCCCTGCAGCTCCTGCTCTTTCCAATAAGCCAGATCAAATTGAATGTCTTGTTTTTTTTTTCTCTCCTAGTCAGCGTAATTTGGCATTTTACAGCCTAATTATGATGTGCCTTGGCAGCTGTCATCTGAGTGTTTTCAGAGGGAGATTATAGACACACAAAAACTGAGATGAAGCATGAAAGCTGTGGGTGAAGAAAGGATTTACCGTAGTGTGTTCGGATGGAAACCAGCAGCCAGATTTAGAATCTGATCATTTTCTCTGCTTATGACTGTGTGGTTCATCCAGGCTTTTGTGCATCAGTTCAGTTTTGTTTGGGATAATATTTCAGAAATTGTTTATGTTTTTAAAACAAGCAGTACACTGATGTCCACCATCGCTGAATTTGAATAGTAGATGTTTGTAGTTTTTGAGATGAGTGATTTTCTGGAACTGAACTGAATAAGTTGTAAGTATAAGTTGGTGCACGATGTCACACTGTGTAATAAAACAGACGTAGGTTTTAATTATTTATTTATTTATTTTGCTTGACCAAGATGGTGCAAAGTAATGGATCCTGGCGAGCAGTGGGAACAATTTCATCCACCATCCACAGTGGATAATATTGGTGGCTGAGCCAGAGGGTGGCCAGTGGTGGCCTTGCCCACCATAGAGTAATCTTCGACCAGTCCAGTTGTTTGAAGAAACTATACTTTTGGGCAATACAGTAGTCCCTCGCTATGGTAAATGGAGCTTACTTCTATAGCGCCTTCCAGCCCCCTATGAGGGGCCCCAAGGCGCTTTACAGTACCAGCCATCCACCCATTCACACGCACATTCATACACCGGTGGCGGTAGGCTGCCATGCAAGGCGCCATCCAGTCCCACCGGGAGCAACTCGGGGTTAAGTGTCTTGCCCAGGGACACAACGGCACATGGTGTGGGAAGTCGGGATTCGAACCTCCAACCTTCCGATCAGAGGTCGGCTGCCACTACCACTGCACCACGGCCGCCCGCTACTTTGTGGTTCATTTTTTGCGGACTCACTCTATCGCGGTTTTTCAAAATAAGATTGGACAAGACACACAATTGGCTGATTGATGGATGTGCTGCACGATCGACATGGAATTTTTTATTTAAAATAAACCATTTTTAATTATTTGGCACCTGCTGCACATCTGTGCAGCCCAGAGTTGCAGAAAAAGCTTCCTCCTGCACTTTTGTGCAAGCCATACTGCAGGATAAACTTCCTGCTGCAGCTGATCAACTGATCACTGTGTAGAGCTGAGAAGTGGGCGTGGCCAAGAGTGCTTGCAGGTGGCAAAGAGCAGAGGAGGCAGAGAGTTGAAATCATGACAAGCTGTGCTCTTTGAGAGCTTTAGAGTTTAGAAACATTGTTTAGAATATTGCAAGAGTGTGGGAAGGGTTCAAAACACCTTTATATATATATATATACTAAAATAAACTACTTGCTACTTATACTACTATTCCTACTTCACAGTTTTTCACTTGCTACGTATCCCCCGCGATAGACGAGGGACTTCTGTATACAATCTAGAACGCATAGTTGCCTCAAATGATAGTTGTGGTCCGTTTACATATATACATATACATATATATATATATATATATATATATATATATATATATATATATATATATATAAAGTCAGCCATCTTGGATTTTGTTGTGGGAACCCAATTTTCAATGGTGACCTTTCTTACACCAAGATGGAAGTCAGTTCTTATGCTTCAACTTATCCAGTTCACAAGTCCTAAACGCAGTTCAGCCGTTCATCAGAGTTGCATAACTTTTTAATCTAAACAAGTAATGAAGTGCAGTTTTTGTCATCTGCCTGCTACAGAGAGCATCAGTTGTGGTTGTTGTCTCTTGTTCTCTTTGTTCCTGACTTTTTTTAACTCTACCTTTTTATGCTCCCGTCTCATCTGTTCCTCTGAATCGAATCGCTACCCCCACTGCCTTCACACATCTGTCCGTCCTCTCCTCACTGAACCTTCGTTCCTCACAGCTCAGTGTGCAGGAAAATGAGAGGAGGTGAAGTTCTGCGAGAATAAAATTACTCTAAACAAGAAGGAATGCAACCTTAATGTTCAGTTAATTAAAACATGAGGTGTGCATACGAGATGTTTCCTATAAATGTACCATGTGTGTTTTGTACAGTGTTCAGAAAAGCAAAATAATTAGTCTCCGTTAAATGATGTCCTTTTTTGTCCTTTTTTACCATTCCTCTTCTCACTCCCCTGCAGCATCTCATGTGTTAATAATCCTACATCCTGCAGGAGCACCACACAAACATTAAATATTAATGTCGCTGACAGCCGCTCTGCTGAATTCTTCCTCAACTTTCCATGCTGCTCATTACAACAACAAAAAAAAGGAAACACTTGTCTCTAAAAGCTTCTGCTTTTGAAGTTAAACCGAGATAAATGCTGCTTGTACGGTCTCTCAAAGAGAAGGTGGAGGTATCTGTTTGCGTCTCGGTGAGATGCAGCAAATTTGTTCACATTCTGTTGAATCTCATGCATCGTGTCTGGTTGCTGAATCATTTACAGCTTCTTCCAGTTGAAGTAGGACCATATGCTTCATGCACAGACACACGCACGCGCACAGATTGGTCACAACCCACTGGTTCGACTGAACAGTTGATAGCATCTCCTTACATCACAGTCACCAAACCGAGCTGTCTGTCTGCTCCCTGTGAACCGGTGCCGGTCCGCACCCGCCAGAGATTTGGACCAGGCGGGTTCCTCCCAAAATCTGCCCAGTTTGTGTCTGAGTGCTGCCAGTGAAGCTTGTGTGAGGAAGAGAGGAAAAGAAAGAAACTGGAACATGAGAGCAGCTTTAAATCTTGTCTAAATACAATAAAATGTACAGAAAATCATGCACGACTGGGAAACATCCTGCCAGAATTATTATTATTATTATTATCAATAATAATAATAATAATAACATAAAGTTTATTGATTTTTGTTTAAACAAAACAATTCAATATACAATAAGAAATACAATCACAAATAACATGAAAAGCAGCAGAAAGAAGAAAAAAAATCTTATATCTGCCCCTTTTTTCTAAAATATTAATTAAAACGATAATAATCTTCAAATAACAAAAACAAAATAAATAACTCCTTGTCGAGCATCAATTCATACAAATACACATTAAGCTATTTCTTTTTTTTTTTTTTTAACAAACCAAGTTGGATCATTCTCTTAAACATATGCATTGATCTGGTATTTTTAACATCACTCTCCAGATTATTTCATAATCTTAATTCCTTGGATTGAAGTCGACCGTCCCTTCAAACTAGTTCTAAATTTAGGTTTCACAAATATCTCTAGCCCCTTAAGATTATAAAAACTCTCTCTTTTAACAAAATTTAATTGGACATTTAAAGGTAATGTATTATTATGAGCCCTTTACATAACTGATAAAATATTATAATATACCAAATCCTGAAACTTTAATAACTTCAGTTCATGAAATAATGTAATTGATGTGTGACTGAAATGCTTTCTAGTAATAATTCTTACAGTTCTTTTTTGTAAAACAAAAATAGGATTTATAAATGTTTTACACGCTTTCCCCCAAACATCAATACAATAGATTAAGTGTGAAACAATTATTGCGTTATACAACATATACAGAGCTTTATCGTTTAATAACTCCCTGACTTTGTACAGTACTGCAATAGATTTAGCTTTTTTTATTCTTACATAATTTATGGAATGTTTCCATGTCAACTTTTTATCAATGATAACACCCAAAAATATATAAAATGAGCCATAATCTCCTAAATGTATTTCATCAGCAAGAAAGCAGAATTACTGAACTAATATATTTTTTTAAGTTTTGAAGGGAAGCATGGCTGCTGCTGCTCAAAACTCCAACATGGCTTTGTAACAATCTAGATCCAAACAATAAAGAAGTATAATTTGTGTTTGTGCGAGCTGGAAGGTAACATCAACTATCAGCTGAGTATATACCATGGTACAGCTGTAAAAATCATAAAACTTAAACTGTGTAGAAAATGTTGGAGAAATCAAAATTCCAGTTCAGTCGTGTAAAGTCCGACCTTTTGTGACCCAGTTAAACTTTGAATGATGTTTCTGCTGTGAACTGTCTGAGCCATGGAGCTCCACAGGGCTGGGTTTGTTCACGTTTCACTGAAATCCCATTGACCTCCTTTAATTATAGTTTATGTTTTCTAGTTTATTTAAATTGTGTCCACGTACCACTACTAAAAGTCCCAATCCGGCCACATGTTTTGGTGTCTAATTTGCACGTTTCATTTTAAATCTTTGCATCAAGCAGCCTCAGCAGTGTTAATGTGCATTAATGTAAAGATTAGATTTGCCCATTAGAGTCCCATGGATCGTTGGAGCAGACGATGACGATGAAAAGCACGGATCAAACAGAATCTCCCCGAGTCTGAACTCTGAGGTGGCAGAGGTTTCTGATGAGCCTCCTCAGGATTCAGCAGGGGTTTAAGAGGTGTGCAAAAGTCCGCATGACTGAAATACAGATGAGTTTTAAAGAAACCTGGGTCAGACTGATTGGTTTGAAAAGAAGCCCAGAAGAAGAGCGTTAAACCAAAGAAGTGACATCAAAGGTAAAAGAGAGACGAGTACGACTGCGTGGGAAGTGACAGAAAATTTTTAAAAAGCCCCGACACAAGGAGCCAAGAGACGGACTGGATCAATCCCCCTCGACGAACTCGTGCAAATCATTTCTATTATTTTACTACATCTTGAATGGTGACATTTCATCCATACACATGGTGATTTAATAAAAAATAAAAAATAAACATTTTGTTGCTTAAATTGTGTGTAATGTGAAATAAATAAACCCACAACAGTATGTTTGTGACTAAAAAAACTAAAAGTTTATTCTCTAATTCTGTGAGCTCTTTTGGACCATGAGTTCAGATTTCTTATTCAGGCTTAAGCAGTTCTGTTTGTTTTTGACTATTTTAGCCATATTTGAGTTTATATTGAATCAACTGTCTGAGCAATGGTTGGTAAGAGTTCATATAAAGAATATTTCTGTACCACTTTACAGTAAGGCTCCCCTTATAGATGCTAATAAATAGTTTATAGATATGTTATCAGTCCTCTATAAACACTTTATAAATCATTAATAATTGTTTATTATGCATTAATTAAGGGTGACAGAGACAAAACTGACCAATTTCTTGCCCAATAGTGAGTCAAATCTGCCACTTATGTATTAAACATTTCACACTAAGTTACTACCTTGTAAGCACAATAAGCATTTGTAAACCCATTTATTTAGCATATGATATTGTACTTTATCACTGCATTGTAAGTATCTACTGTACAACTATTATTATATCCTAAAAAAAATAGGTTTAAAAATGCTTATTGTGCTTACAAGGTAATAATTTAGTGTGAAATGTTTAATATAACAACTCTAGATGAAATAAAGAGGTGAACAGATTTGGTTCACGATTTGGCAAGAAACTGGTCAGTTTAGTCTCTGTCACCCTTAATTAATGTGTTATAAGCAGTTATTAATGATTTATAAAGTGCTTATAAAGGATTAATAACGTATATATAAACTATTTTTAGTCATCTACAAGGAGAGCCTTATTTTAAAGTGATACCAATGTTTCTGTGATCAGGTGCTGCTTTTCTGTGTAATTTCAAACACAACGCTGTTTTTTTTTTTTGTTTGTTTTTGTTTTTAGTGAACAGACGTGAATAATCAAATGAAAACAGGTTGCAGCAATAAAGACGTGCATTTAGTCTTCATAAATATTTTATCCTGCATCTGACAGACATAAAAAGGCATCGTTTGTTTCTTTTTGAAACTTGACATGTGCTTAGAATTTGTTGTTTAAAGTTGATGTGAAATTTAAAACCTCTTTTTTTTTTTTTTTTTTTGGTCTCTTAAGTCAAAGTTTTGACTTTTCTCTCCTGACTCGAGTGTTAACGCTACATTTCTGTAGAGCGGCTGCTGAAATGATGAAAAGCGACTGTCAGTTTTGTCGCCCGTCGTGCTCCCTCCCTCGTGGAGAGCATCGTGGGCCCATCTGTGGATTTTTCTCAAGGCAGCTAATTTTCTCTCCTGTCGATGACTCATGCAGATCCGTACCCACATGGTGTCTTCTTGCCAGCCGCTGCTTCTTTCATAACTCCTCTAAATCTGTGTCTCACTCCCTGCTGTCCTCCTTTTCTTCTGTCCTGTGCTGCAGATAAGTTTTGGTACTGCCGCCTGTCCCCGAATCATAAAGTCCTGCACTACGGAGATCTGGAAGAGAGCCCTCAGGGCGAGGTTCCCCACGACTCTTTACAGGACAAACGTGAGCGTAACATTTCATCACTGGTGCTTTTTAAATGTACATTTTGCATTTCCAGAGGATTTCCTGCGACTTGCAGTGGAAGTCCTTTATTTAAATATGCACTTCCTGCTAAATAAATGTAAAAATAACACGAGTCCTGCTGAAGTTTTAATGACTTGGATTAACCAGGGACCCATGTGGGCTGACACAGTTTTCAGAGGGTTGTTTTTGTTGTCATTAAGTCACGTCTGTCCTCTCTGCAGTGCCTGTAGCTGATATCAAAGCTGTTATCACGGGCAAAGACTGTCCTCACATGAAGGAGAAGGGAGCCCTCAAGCAAAACAAGGTGTTTTTCAGTGTGTGCGCTGGTGTGCACGTGCGAGCGTGTGGGTGGGTGTGTGCTCAGGCGAGAGAACGTGGTTTTGTGTGTAAGAGTTGCGTAATGTGATGTCGGTTACATAATTTTTGCTCTGGGAAATACCACAATAACTCACATCTTAGTGCTTTATAGAGGCAGATGTGTTTATTAAAGGATTTCTGTTTGAATCAATTACTCAGGAGTTGAGGGTTGAGAGTTGAGTTTAATCGCCCAACAAATTTTGCTAGGCGATTAATTGTCTCAGAAATTATTGAGATAAATGATAATATTGTTTGAAATTTAACCATAATTAATTGCCTTATACACTTATGCATGCTCACAACCACACACAAATAGATGCAGGGATGCTTATGTAGGCTTTATATGTAGATATATAGATATGTATGTGAATGTATATTCATGTGTATGTATGTATGTATATGGGCGTAGGAATGGGTATATATATTTATAGAAACTTACTGCAAAGCCATGAATATTTTAAGTTCTTTATACATATGTATTTTGTTGCTGTGTTTTGTCATGTTCTTTGCAGGTGAACAGACAGTGGCCGGGTGTTTTGCTGTGTGCTCTCTTTGTGTATATTTCTTATATTTTGGAGTCTTACTTTGTCTTTTCTTTCTATCCTATTAAAAAAAAAAAAAACTACACTAAATAATCACTAGAATAAATATTTCATAATAATGGTGTGGAGAGGATGGCTGTAAGGGGAGAAGGGAGGACATCCAGAAAAGAAAAAAAAAAAAGAAGACATGGCGTCGACGGTGGATGGACCGTTCCGCTGCAGCTGGGCAGTCGAACAGTTCAGTAAGAGGGAAATAAATGAAAGACACACTGGCATTATGCACGAGTGGAGTTTTAGAAAAATATTGTGATTAATAAGCTATAATAGGAAATTCTAAAAGGATTTAAAAAGTAATTAACTACGTGTCTGACTGACGTGACAGTTTGACTGAAAACAAGGCATCATTTTCAGCTACTGGATCTGGAGGGTCTTCCCAAAATTCGGCACAAAATTTATTTATTAATTAATTTTTTAGGAAATAATTTAGGGAATACTAAAGAGGAAAATGTCGTTTTTCAAAAACTGACAGAATTATTATTTTTTTTGTTAAATATATATATATATATATATATATATATATATATATATATACACACACAGTATTTAACTGTATTGGGGATTTGTGATTTTTTTAATTTTGTCTTAGGTTTGATATTTTTATTAAACTAATATTGGAGGTACAGTAGTTGTATCTGAGAGTCATCCCCAGCACCGACTCTGAGCTCTAACAGAGTATGTGAGCTCCTGCACTGTTATATGAGATCACACTTAACACTATTTAAAAGTTTTGATGACAACAGCTCCAACTCCGTCATTTCTCAGCATAAACTGATCTTTATTTTAAACTCTGGCGTGAATAGCGGCGGCTGATATGCATTCCTTTAAGAAACGCTGGATCGTGTTTTTGTTTTTAAATCAAACGCGGTGGTTCATGGTGCATTTAAACTCCTTATTCTGTGTTTTACCTCTGCAAACCTCCATCCTCATCCACAGGTCTCTGAAGTACTGATCTTGGATAAATAGCTTTGGAGACAAAGGAGCCCACCTCCTTCCTGCTCTGCCTGTATTATACTGTCAATAAGCACTAAAAGTCTAAAAGAATGAGTCCAATGTGTGGCTGTGGGCTTTCTACCAAGTGTGGTCACATTTTATTCCTCACAGTTTCACGTCTACGTGATTTAGAGCGGAGCTGCTCTGACAAGAGAACGAAAAGAATAAGCATTGCTTCTTTTTTAGGCTGTTTCCCACTTTATTACAGTAAATAAATGCAAAGCCAGCAAAAGTACTTTCAGTGTGTATTTTTCTAAATGTCTTTCATAAAGTATTTTTAATTCCCATAAACATTCTCACAAGGTTATGCTTCTCATACTGTAGTATCTAGAAACGCTCGACGTGAGGCTGATTTCATGTTTTATTTCTACATGCTGTCACCAAAAAACAGGTGCAGCTTTGGGCGGTTGTATTAAAACACAGCTATTGTTGGAAAGAGAAAATTCAATTAACCAGAGCTTCAATTAAACCGAAGTGAAAGCAGAACAGCAGCTGCAGACAAAGGGAGCTGCACTTAATTACACTTGTGTTTAAAAGCAGAAGCAAATTGTCTGACCTAATACAACAAAGAGCAGGATGTTGTTCAAGCTCCTAAATAGGGAAAAATTTAAAGTTTAAATGGTTCCAACATGTAAATAGTTTTTCTGCAAGGAAGAAGAAGAACTTCAAAGTATTAAGAACTGTCTTTATACCCTTTTCTAGATTCATAAACAGTAAAATGTACTTCACTAAGATTGTTCAGGGTGGTGAGCTGGATCACAAGCAGAATGTCAAAGCTTCAGCTTTTCTACAAGTGTTCATATTTTCAACAAGTGTTTCCTTGAAACACATTTGGTTAGCAGCACCTGGAGCATGAGTTCAAATGGAAACAACAAAGATATTTTTGAGGGTTTTTTACGCTCTGCTTCTGCATTTTGATTTGATTATTTCAAAACAAGTGAACTTATGTGGGGGCTGCGGGTCAGTGCCAACACTCCATTATTTAACATGCCATGGAATATTTGAGTCATAAAACTCGCTGCCATCTCTCCAAGACATGGCCATACCTCCAATGGTATGTTATCAAGTCCAACTGCGTTGCCCTTCTTCATCCTCACTAATCTTTCCCACTTCCTGGTCCACAGTTTCTATGACCTCAACTCTTCTTTCTCTTTATTAGCTCCTCAAAGTACTCCTTCCATCTTCCCATCACTCTCTCCTCACTTGTTGGAACATTACCATTCCTATCTTTAATAAGCCTAACCTGCTACACATCCTTTCCAGCCTGATCTCTCTGTCTTGCCAATCGGTACAAGTCCTTCTCACCCTCTTTAGCATCCAGCCTCCCAGACAACTCATCTTACACCTTCTGCTCTGCCTTTGCTACCTCCCTCTTTGCTCTACATTGCATCCTTATATTCCTGTCTCCTCTCTTTAGTCCTCCGTCATATTTCTTCTTGGATAACCTCTTCCACTTGATGTCCTGATGCATTATCTATAATCCAGGTACATAAATCTATCAAGGTTGAGTCAGGTTAAACTAGACTCTAATGTTAAATGTTGGACTCTTCCTCTGAACAACTTCCTGCACTTCACGTTCACTTTCCCCCTCTGTAGATATTTTGCTACTGTTCCTCATGGCGCATCCTCTACTCACTGGCTGGAGCTTCGGCTGAAGTTTCAATCAGCATCCTTTCGGCTGTCAACTCCTCAAGATATATGCTGCATAGTGCTTCTGTTGTGACTTGGCGCTATATGAATAAACTGAATTAATTAATTTATGCATTTGGTCCAAGACTGGGAGAAAAATCACGTGTTTGTGTTTATTTGTGATCATTAGTGATCACAGTCAAACTAAAGATTTGACTCGGATCTGATACCTGAAATCATACTGTGTCACTTAGATTGCCAACTTCTCCCAATTCCATCCAAATATTTAATATAAATTTATTAAAATATTTATATTAGTGCACATATTGCTGGTGGCAGAGGGGTGAGTGAAGCAGACGGTGGGTGAGGAGAAGATTGTACTCACTGACATATTTCTGTCTCTTCTCTCTGCAGGAGGTGTTAGAGCTGGCCTTCTCCGTCCTCTACGAGTCAGACGAATACTTAAACTTTATTGCTCCTGACAAACACGAGGTAAGACGGCAGCGTAAACCTGTGATGTCACCACCATGTAGGCTGTGTGTCGTCTAAAGTCTCATGTGCAATATTTATCCATGTTGGATCAGTAAAACACTGTATTGTTGTTTCATTAGTGCATGCTTGAGTTCATAAATCTTAACAAGGGACTTATTTAAATACATTTGTATTTAGAACTACTGTATATTTATACTATATTGTATGTAGGTGGATGTTTTGCTCCTGAGTGTCTCTGATTTTAGTTTAAGTGCTGTCAGCAGCCGCCTCTGGTCTCCGTGGTGCTCCGTAACGTGTTCCAGTTTTTACTGAGCGTTAAAAACGCCCGTCTTCTCCCCGCAGTACTGCGTGTGGACGGACGGTCTGAACGCCCTCCTGGGGAAGGAGATGACCAGCGACTACACCAAATCCGACATGGACACCCTGCTCTCCATGGAGATGAAGCTCCGCCTCTTGGATCTAGAAAACATCCAGATTCCCGAGGCCCCACCCCCGATTCCCAAAGAGCCCAGCAACTACGACTTTGTTTACGACTGTAACTAGACGTGCGACTCCCCTCCCACCCCCAAAATCTGCACCTTCAGTAGTCACTGGACCAATCCCTCCTCCTCACGAGCTGGAACAAGAAAAACCTGTACGATATGAAACAAACTGTGGCTGAAGGAGGGACGTGTTTTACTTTTCTCTCTTTGCTTCTTGTTAGATATATAAGAGGATGAAACGGTGCAGATCACCTGTTGCACCTGAGGGACTCAGGGGGTGTCAGTGCAGAGTTCCCATGAAGAGGAGGAAGCAGGGAGTTCATGTTGGACCCGTTCTTCATCGTCCCGCTCAGTCCTCTTCACTCACTTTCCTCCTTCGTCTCGGCCCAGACTCCTGCTGGCTTTTTGCTTCTGTGGACAAACGCTTAGAAATGTTCTTTTTCTTTTTTAAGTTTCATGTTGTTTTATTTTATTTTTGTTTTTCCTCAGGGTTTTGTTTTGTTAGGAGTTGATATCAGGATGTGCAGGTGAAGCGCAGGCTGGGATTAAAAGTTACTTCCTGTTACATTTCCACTAACGGTGGCAGCTAAGAGGCTGGATTACACTCAACGGACCAATCCTTCTTTAACATACTCTCTCCTGTCTGCTCGGTCACGTTTCACGTGCACTGAAGACTGTTTCAGTCGTGTTACTGAACTCATCGCTGCTCATTTATTCCAGTATTTTTCCCCATAATGCAAATGTAAAATCATCCCCGGCGGTAAAAGCCCACTCGCCTCTCCTGCACTCGAGTCTGTCGTTGTAAAAACTGCTGTACACAACATTCCTGAGCAATATTTGAGCTTTTGTTTTGTCATTTGTAAACTGATCATTTAGTAATTTTGAAATTGTGAAAAAAAAAAAAAAAGCCTGTTAACGTGTTTTTGGTCAAGGGAAGATGATTTTCTGTGTCGGATTATATATGGACACAAAAATTTGAGTTTTTTTATTTAAAGAAAGATCATGTTTTTTTTTTGTTTGTTTTTTTCTGGTATCATTTATACATTTCTCCTTTTTTTTTTTTTTATTTAATGCCTTCTGGGTTGTTTTCTGTAGGATTTTTTCAAAGCCCCTGAAAACTGCTGTTTACATTAAAACGTGGAGAGAAAAAATCAGAAGTTTGTCTTTATTTATAAACTGCGGCTGTCTGGAGGACAACACAAGAGTTTTATTAGTGCGGAAGAAATATAATAATTAAATTCCTGTACCATATTTTTGAAACTATAAGGCGCACTTAAAAAACTTTAAATTTTCTCAAAAATCAACAGTGAACCTTATAATCTGGTGTGTTTTATGTATTAATTCTGGTTGTCTGACCTCAAACTGAATTAATGTGGTTATTGTGAATGAGTTGAATAAAGTTTCACTTATCTGTTTTGTTTCGCTTAGTCTGAAAAATATAGTATTTGTTTTGTTATTTTTCAAAGTGTCATATAAATTGTGATCTTTCGGTTTCAGCAGCTCTAAAACATATTTTATTTCCGATGCTCTCGTCTCGTTTGGGTTTTATTTTTATCCCTTTCGTCTTGAAAAAGATGTTGAATAGTGTGAGATTTGTGGTCAAACCTTCCACTGGAGGTGATCTGTGGTGAATTTTAAATCATAATAAAGATCTACACATGAGCCTTTAGTTGAACTCTGAGACTGAAGTCTCCACTTTTAAGATTTAATGGAATTTTATTCTGGTGCTGGAAATGTTTTGTGGGTGTCGAAGGTGTTTTTGTTGTTTTTCAGTACACGTATCCAAACAAGCTAAATGTATTTTGTCCACAAAATGTTTCATAAAACATTCTTTCTTTCTTTGGAAACCTTCTAATCTGAAGGTTTGCACTCTTTTTTTTTTTTGCTCCTAATCTTGAGCATATATCTGTAAGGTTGCTTTCCCTTCAGCTGCCATCTCTTCGTGTTTTAACGCAAACGATTTGACTTCACCGACCTTCAGGAGCAGATTCTTCTTCTTTTCAGGGTTCTGGTCGATCATTATCAATCGAGTTCGGATATTTAAAGAACTTCAGAGTTCGTATAATCTGACATGATGATGAATCTGAGCATTTTCTTTAAGATTGTTGGAGATGTTTAAACAAATTGTGTTTCAACTATTTATTTTATTCTGGTGCATGTGTTTGATTTACATCTGGCCTCTCTCTGTCCCAGTGTGGGACATTGTCCTCCGTCCAGCTGAGCTCCATCTGAAACGCTGCAGAGCCTTTTGCACAAAAACAACAGATTAATTCTCGCACAAACCTCCAAACTGAAGTTGTTTTAAAGGGTTTAGAGTTGTGTCAAATCTCCTCTCTGCCTGCCAGTGGTTTGGTTTCAGTCCAACTCCACAGCTGCATCTTCCAAAGCTCTGAACCACCTTCTGTTTATTTTATCCAAACTTCTTGTTCCATTTTGGGGACAGGGTGTCGCATAAAGCCCATTTCTTGTTGATCAACTGGAGTGGGATGTTTGCAGGAGTTCTTGAATCACTTGGGATGACTTTGAAGATGAGAGAGCTGTTGAGGAGGAGGGAGCGATGAAGATGAGACTTGCTTTGATGTGACGTAAAGGAGGATGTTCCTATCTTTATTTTCAAGCTGAGAGGTTTTAAACATCAGTCGGCTCATTTTACTGACTGTTTATTACAGCCGATCAATTATTAACTTCAATTAAAAGAAGGAAAATATTCCTTTTTGTTGTTTTCGCTCTTGTGTGGGATTGAAGCAGGACGAGGACGAGTCAAACTCAGCCCCCTGTGTCTATATTTACCCTGCAGAGCCTGCCAGTTCCTGCAAGTGTAGGACGGCAGCAGGCATATTGTTTTAGTGGGAAAATATCAACAAGACACGAGACGAAGGACAGGCTGACCACTTGTGTCTCAGCTCAGACTCTCAGCTCATTTCACTCTTCAGGAGACGCAATTTACGAAGAAACATCACGTTAAAACCATCAAGACAAGCCATGGCACAAGAAGGAAATCTAAAACTAGAGAAACTGCATTTCCTGCTAAAATGCAGTGTGAATGCTATTGCTGAAGAATGTGCTGAAAAATGGCTGAAATGAGCTAAAATCATGCTGAAATGCAGCTGAAACTGAAGAACAAGCCTAAGTTAGCAGCTAGAACACATATTTGCTGAATTAGGTTTAAATAAACAGCCGTTAGCACAAAAATTGGGAATATAGGTTTTAAAAAAAACTGCTGAGAAGTAGCTGAAAAAGAAAGAAGCTTAAACTACCAGAAGGAAGGGAAAAGAGCTGAAATGAGCTAAAAAAAAAATTAAAAAAAAGTGGAATTGGCTGAAAAGGCTAAAATTAGCATAAGAGCTAATTTTTTGGGGGCTGAAATTGGCAGGAAAAAAAAAGCTGAAAGCACATTTTCTAATGCTAATATAAAATCCTGGAAAAAGGTATTATTAGCCATGTTTTGTTTAGGTAAATAAATGTTAAACTGCAAAGATTAACGATTTAATAAAACTATTCTTCACAGGTTTGTTATCAAAACCAGTTATTGTAAGAAATAAAACTGCAGCTGATCAGACTTTTCAATTTACAAAACATTCAATAAAACTTAAAAAAATGTAAATCACAAGTTAAGCACAAATTAATTTCCATCCAAAACAAATCAAGTATTTAAACTGCCCACACAAAATGATAAACACTGAATGTGTTCGGACATCAGTTACATTTTAAATGACATAAATTACTTTACAAATGTAAATATGTGCAATAATTACATGTCGAGTAGTTAAAGAGATCATTTCTGTTTCAAACGGGGTTGTGTGGCGTACGTAGAAGTAATTAGTATCTTTCCTGCAGCAGATAGAGCGATCTCAGTTTGAAGACTCAAAGTTTCAGACTCTTCGCTTCTCAAACTTGAGATTCTATTTTCATCTACAGGTACGACTCCATTCATAAATACTCCACACAACCTCGCTTGGAAACAAAAATTAAAAACTGTCCCTTCTAATCTCTCATTTATTACAAAGTTAGAAGGAAATGAATTGTGCAAACATTAAAGTTTTTAAACATAATGAATTAAGCGTGGCATGCGATCAGGCTAAAGTCACGCGCTGTCCTGGTTCAAACGGGACGGAGGGAAGAGACTTTCTGTCTCCTAAACCGCCAAAGTCTTCATACCTAAAGAAAATAAAACAAGATTTAGATTACAAAATAAAATCCAATGACTGTATTTTTCCAGTGAAAAACCTAACGGTCCTCTCGTCACCTCAACAAACCGTGACTTAATATTAGATACGCTGACTACGGAGCTGCAGTGGTTTCTAAGCGCTTGCGTCCCTGGACTCACAGTTTTGTGTATCTGCTCCAGTCGGCCCGGCTCAGAGACGGCCGGCTCACAGCCATGGCGGAGTCGATGTGAGCCTGAGACAGCAGCAGGCCCGGCTGGCTGGAGGCTGAACGTGTCCAGACACACTCGTCCTACACAAACACAAAGTGTTCACACAGGAAGCAGCTGAACCGTCTGCTTCAACGACGGCAGCGCAAACTGTATTTGTGTTGACGGTGTAACAGAAATACTCAAAGACACGATCCAGCAACGCTCACGTGTTTATTAATCACTTACGTTGGCTTTCCTGCAGTTGTTCTTGATGGTCTGCACCTCTTGTAGTAAACGCTCCATCTGCTCAGAGCCCGGCTCCTCGTATCCAGTCTGGATGGAGGACATGAACGCAGGAGGACGGGCGCCGAGCGGCTCTCGGACCGATGCCTCCGTCGGGTCGTGGGTCATGCAGTTGTGCCCAGATGTGCACTGCGAGTTCTGTGAAAACACAAATGATGAAACGACTTAATTCAGCGCTTTAATTCAGACAATCCAGGTGCTGAGAGTGGACCAAAGAAGAGACGAAGGCTCGGCAAGGAGAAGACGTGGCATGGAACCTGCTCAGATTTTTTTTCTTGGATTGACATGAAACTAGAGGCACTCTTCAAAGATTAGATTTTTAGACGAGCTCTTCAAATCTTTGAATTGTAATAAATTTGACTAAGTCAAACACAAAAAAGATGGCCGCCACTGCTAATTGATCGTAGAGAACACAAACATGGATATAATTCTGTCAACAAGTATTGAAGTAAACTTTGGTGTGGTAGTAGCTGGGAATAAGCTCCAACACATAAAGTGAGCACCATCACATAAAGTGAGCACCATCACATAAAGTGAGCACCATCACATAAAGTGAGCACCATCACATAAAGTGAGCACCATCACATAAAGTGAGCTCCATCACATAAAGTGAGCACCATCACATAAAGTGAGCACCTGCTGGTGCTGGTGATCACTTTAACACGTTGGTGACGTGAGGTGGCGGGTGATGGTTTCATTTAAACTCATTACATGTACACGACATAAAAACTTTCAAAATGATTTTTAGATGCTACTAACCTGGTGAACTTGTTAAATACTCTGCAAGACTGATAATCTGGGTTTCATTTAAGTTTATATGACTAAATATATAACTAAGTAAAACGTTGACATGGTTTCATGCTCACCTGTCTGGAAACGAGTGAATTTCCGCACTCGGACTCGTACGAGCTTCCGAAGTAGAGTCTCCAGACGTTGTTGTGGCATTGTTCGTCCTCCGCCTGAAGCTCGCTGGGCTCGAGGAGGACCGCGGACTGGTCGAGGCCCACGCCGTGGTCGCTCTCTCCGACAGAATCGTCAGAGCTGTTGTTGGGGAAGGTCATGTTGGAGAGGCTCATGTCGCAGTCGGAGCCGCAGGTCAGCTCCTGGAGGTCACACACACCGGAGGATAAACTTTACACGAACTGTGTCTTGGTATAAAATGAGTTTGGGCTCAAACTGCCTCAGATCATTTAGTCAACATCGAGGTAGAAAATTAATAGTTATAAAATGTCTGAGAATGGGCGGAGCTACAGTGCCCCGCCTTCCTGCTTCATCACACTAATCCTCTAAATACAATGGCTGTACATGTGATGTGCCGGGCCCCGGGCTGCTGTGGACCGCCTCCAGCTGAGCATTGTAGAGCAGGGCCTTTAGGTCCGCTCCGGTGAACTGCTCTGTCGCTACTGCCAGCTGTTCCAGGTCAACATCTGGAGCCAGGGAGAGGCCAGAACTCAGAGCTTTCAGAATCTCAACGCGAGCCTCCTGCAAACA